AAGTACTATCCTTGGAAAACAACACTGTGGGAGATAGCTGGGCGTTGCAGATAGCATCCAGATGGACGCCCCCACGCATCCGCCTCGCACGAGAGCGCTCACCAAGCGCCCCTGGGAAACGGCAATTTAACAGCTATGAGCGTGCCAGGGGCCTGCAGCAGTGGCCAGAAAGCACCTTCCAGCTTTGGCTGCCCGGCCTTTTGTAGTGTTTGCCAACTCATAAAAGACCCCACAAGGTAAACAGCCTTCAGGTGCAGCATCTCCTTTAAGTTTCGTTGTGGGGCTGGGGTCTTTTTTGTCAGGTTTTTTTTTTTTTTTTGGTCAGGTTTTTTAAGCAGTATTGAACAAGAACTTTTCTTAAAAAAAAAATCTGTTAAAAAAATACCTGACTTTTATACACAGCTATCCTAAAAATCTGAAAGCAAATTCAAAGAGCAATCTTTGTTGCATAAATAGCACAGCTTGACTGGCTGGGGTCTTTCTGCATGTTATGGGCATGCAGGTCCATAAGCTCCCAGCTCCGATACCCAAGAGCTCAGGCTGCTCTCGGAGCACAGACAGTGCTGGTGCTGCTGGTGGAACTTCAGTGCAGCCACAGCAGAGCAACTTTTTTTTTGTGGTTCTTCTTCTGTGCATGCAGCAATGCAAAATGCCAAGTGCTCCTAGATTGTCATTTAAAAAAGTCTCAATAGAAGCAAGGAACTTCAAGGGAACTAAAAACTGGTGAAGAAATGGGGAGGACAATTCAGTTTGTAAGGCTTTGGGGAAATTAATTTTCTTGTCACTTCCATAGCCTAAGTCACATGGTACCACCTACTTTTTTTATACTTCCCAAAATTCGTACCAGGTTGCAAAGATGCAGGCAAAACCTAGATGGGATTTTTTTTTTTTTTTTTTTTTACTGCATAACTATTTATTACCATGCTCCACGACTGTCGAAGTGAGGAGTAATATTGACAGCAAGTGATAGTGCCCACAAAGTAAGGTTTGTAACAGAAGCTCTTTCAACAGAAGACAACTGCAATAGCAGAATTGAAACATGAAGTTCAGGCACATAAATAGAAAATTCAAAATTACAGGATGAAGCTGTATCCTTTTTGAATTGCTACAAATATTCTCACACGTGGGAGTTGCAAAACCAGTTAATGACACTGTTAGCGGAGCCGCGGAAGCGTGAGCTGTTACCAGTGACTCACTGGAGAACAGGGGACAACACGCTGAGAACTTGGTGTTATTTTCCAAAGGTGACTTCATGCACGACTATAACAATACAGGCAGGTCAGCTGAAGTTCTCATACATCAGCAGCATGCAAAAAATCCTAGGTTTTGGAGATGCCTGTGGTTATTCTTACTCATTTGCTCTTAAGTAAATGTTATTTCCAACTCAATAGTTTGGACCTAGTTGAGTCCCATGGTCTCTGAAGAATGGTAGGTTTTTCTATATAGTATTTTCTGCTCTTCTCAGTCTAGGTGCCAGGAGGGGCTCAGCTCCCTCCACTGGCTCCTCTGCCTTGTGGCCAAGCAGGGTGTGACACAAACCTTTTCCATCTCCTGTCGTGCCAGGGCAGCATTTGCAAACATTAACTCAGGATAAAGTAGTTGTGAACAAACATATTGCTGTAACAAAGCTGTAAATTTCTACAATCATTTTTATTAGTTATGGAAGAACCCCCACTAGTATTTACATAGTGCAAAAAAGCTGTTATTACTCCAAAAAGTACGGTAGACAGAACAATTATCCTTCATACAGCAAAAAAAAGAAATGGAACAAACCTCTTCATGTTGTATTTCATAATGATTTTTCTACTGCTTTAACCTAAATATTACTATAAGTTTTAAGACATTAAAGATTAAACAGCTTTCCTTATTGGAGTCTATTTAAAAGTAAAATATAGGAACTATTTATGAACATTTAGAAGGTGGGCTGTGCCAACAGGGTTTCTACTTTCAGCGTTACCATTCATTGGCAAGGAAGTTCCGGGTTAGACATTCTCACGTTTCCTTGTGTGTGGCAGGGTGGGCAGAAAACCCACATTACTTGTTTCTATGGCTCGCTTCTGCTGGTTTTTGTTTTGTTAACAAATCGTCACGTCTAATTTTTAAGTGGCCGACCTTGAAATCGACTCAATAGTTTCATTAGTTGGCACAACTTCACAGGAAATACTTAATGACAGTTTCAGCAAACAGCAGCTTTTCAAACAATAATACTTTTTTACATACATATTTAAAGTAACATTATTAAAATTTAAGCTTGTGTTAAAGAACTGAACAGAATCACATTGTGTAAGCTCCCACCCACCCAAATGAGCATAAAGACACCTCTTACCTTTACCAGAAGAACACCAACAAGTGCATTACAGAACATTTTCTATAATGAAATTTTAAAACACAGGTCAATACCCTCTGTCACTGTTTAGCTCCAATCCTACAACTACTTGCACACAACTTAAGCAGATAAACAGGCCACCGATTTAAGCCAGTGGAACTAATGCTCTTAAGCGTGTGTTAGCAGGATCAGGTCCTTAACCTTACTCAGACATTGTTACTTGGTCCAACTAAGGACAGAAGTTCTTCAGAATTTTTCCATTTTACATATTTGTATTCCATGTTTTATTACTGTTTTGACAGAGATACTTATTTATATAAATAGGTTGTATACATAGCCGCCTCTATTGGTTTTAAAGATCCCTACCCCTACCACAGATACATTATTTTTTATTTTACCAGATAAATTGAGTGGTGAAATCATTTCTATAAAGAATGTCTCAAGAAAAAGTAGAGTTGTTTTCCAAACAATCATTTTCACAAAAAAAAAAATCTATACACCTATAACTACAGAAACATCTTTTCTTGGGGACAGTAACAACCTGTATAATAAACTGCATACTTTTATACCGAAATAGAAAACCAGCTACTTTTTAAAAAAATCATGGTACTGTAAAACATTTGTATGCTTTCTTTTCAAATTCTGGTGATAATAGAATCAAAATTACCACAGTGAGATACTCTCCTCAAGTGCTTCAAGTGGCAAGGAACTTCCCTAATTTTAGATGCAAATGGATCACTCCCAAAGGAATCGCAATTTCATTCTCACAGTTATTGCTCATTCCTAGCTTATCAGAAAGGAAGCACTAAAACCAGTTTCCTTCACTCAGTTTCAGTTTGCTCCTCTAAGGGTGATCTGCCACATTTTAAGAAGAGACTAGTTCCTTATTTGCTGGCAAATTGAGAGATATTAGAAGTGCTATATCACCTTCAAGAACTCTATTAAACCTGTAGCAAAATTGCAGTTAAATAGTGGGCTGAATATTACAAGACTTTGATATAAATGTCAGAAAATTTTAAAATGACAGTCCAAGTTCAGAAAAGACATATAAAAAGATGCGCCTTTGATGTTAATACTTCAAGATCAAAAGTTATTTGAATCACTGGCACTGAAAAAGCAAAAGGAAAAATTACAAACACCTTTGTTTTTTTGATGTTCTGGTGAAGTTTTGCCCTCAGTGTATACACTGATCTCAGCTGGCGTTGAGACACGTGTTTACACATCCAAGGGCAAGTTTTGCTTGTCAGCAGTTCAAACACCTATCATTTCCTAAAGCAACAACTCTTTCAAAACATACAGACAACAGAAGTCTGCCATACGTACAGCAAAAGGTTTAACATTCAGGAGGCATCATTCCTTAGTCTTTGTTTTCCTATAAAACGCCTGTTCTAACATCTAGAAAGATTACATTAAGGAACTAAGAACGTGACAGAACAGCCAGTTGTCCTAACAGCTCTCTATACTGCTTATCTACATAGCATTTGCTATGCCTATACCTACCAAAGCATTATTTACATAATACACACAGTTTCTATTATTCTCATTAGCATCCACAAAACCCAGGGATAGATGATTTCTAAACCTGGAGTCTTATTTTCCCAGTGCAACTTAAAATGCCAGCATCACTAGTACTATAAGCATTGGTCCCATATTAATATGTGTGGACTAAATACCTAACTAAGCTATCCACTTCTTGTGTTTTTTCAGCCTACCCAGAGGATTTTATGCATTCTGATACAAGTGATCAAGAAAAATGAAGTGGAATTAAAAGAAACATACGTTTGCTATAAAAGTGTTATCCACGTGAGTTACTCTTTGGCTACTCTTGTAGTGAAGCTCCTGCTGCTGGCAGTTTCATTACATCCCTTGCCAGTACAAGGCAAAGATGGAAAACAGACTCCTTAGGTGCAAGGTTTAGACACATATTCCATCTTCAATCTGAAACAAATTCATCATCATTTAATGGATTTTGCTTCAATATTCAGAACAGGACATGGAATAATTCTCTAGCAACATGTATGTTTCAGGGAGGGCATATTTTTGTTCCTTTTACCTCTCTGAACCACTGAAATACCTCCCCATACTACAGGGCACTTCCTCCTTTCCTGGAGTAACTACTTCCCTTTCTACTCTAGAGGTCAACTCCTAAAGCTGCTACAACTGCAAGATCAGATGAAAAAGAGGTCACATTTTGAGTAAGAATTGTTAAGATACATCCTGAACTCAACACGAGGGCGGCCAGGATCAAAGCATGCAGATGAATGTGTAGGTACATCAAGCCACCACATCATTCACACTTGCTGTTAAAGGACTATTCTTGCTTTTAGCAATGTTATGCAGATTACAAGCCCTGGATAGGGATTATGGTTAATGATTCACTTAGTGTGGTTTGGCAGACAGCAACTGTGGAGAGCATGGGGAATTTTTGTTTTCTTTCCCGTTTTTTTTTTAATGCAGTATTTCCACCTTTTAAAAAAGAAAACCCCAAAACATTAATTATATCCCTCTGGTTTAAAGTTTTTCTGGAATCAAAGTTGTTACAGCTTATTGTAACCATCTCTACTATCAGCAGCTTTTTAACGATGCATTCACCAAGACCAACTAAAAAGCTGCATCTATCTCAGCATGAGAATCACACACAGATTTCTCTACTATGTACTTTTCATTAAGACTGCAAATGGGTTTTTCTAGCTTTTCTTCAAAGAGAACCAAAATGTCACTTTTATTCCTAGATAGAACTAGAAAGTCACGGCCAAATACACTGACATGCCTGGCAGAACATCAATGCAAAGTCTTGGTAATTTGTCAGTCTTAATGTTTGAAAATGAGCTATACAGTCACATCTTAAAAGATTTTTGCTTAAAACTGGTCAGTTACAAGATGTTTCCTTTTACAAAAGATCAAATGAATACTTACTGACAAATTTTCCACACAGTTTCTATTCTGGGAAATAGATACTGATTAAAAGCTAAGCTAGTTTTTAAATCAAACAAGTAACAGACAGCTACAAAAATATTGTTGTGAATTAAATACACATATTAAATGTTTAACAGTGCAAAATGTTGAGATGAAGCATAGGAAATAATGGCTGCAACCTTTACAACAGTTAGTTTTAATATAATTTCTAAAAAGTTCCTGAGTTCCTGCTTATTTTTACGGCATATAGATGGAATCTGCGTGTTCTTTATTCAAAGAACTGCAGATGGTGGGTTTAAGTTGAGTGTTACTTGCGTGCTTGTCGTTTGTCCATTCCTCACCATCAGCGACTGGATCAGCCTGCTCAGAAGTCTCTATTTCTTCCTCTTCACTTTGTTCTGCATTGTCTTCTTCAGCACCACTGAGGGTCTTCCCAAGCTGCAGAGTCTCCATAGTTCTCTGGGTCTCTGAAACCCAAGATTCAATTCTGCTGTTAAGCTGAACCTCTACAGAAATTGGTTCATGGGCATAATCCTCATCATCATCTTCCTCCTCTTCCTCCTCCTCTTCCAGCATTCCTGGTACAAGAGTACTGGTGGTACTTGTCATGGAGGAATTCAAAAGATCTCGGCAGCTGCCATCCAGTGATCCTGTTTCTGTACTCTGCTGTGAGGCCCACTCCAGATTGTCATCTGGTTTCACCTCATCTTTGTCACCTGCTGTGGATTTTCCATGATTTGTTGCTGAGGTAGTGCCAGTTGTAGCCAAAGGTGGTTGTTTATTAAGAGTGGCTTTTTCAATTTGACCATTACCAGCTTTTTCTGATACTGCAGTCTTACATGAGGATTCTCTCTCATTTTCAGAGGTTTCTAAACCATCAGATGTTTCCACCATATTTCTCCAGTTTGTTTCTACAAGTTTCAAAAGAAGTTTAAGAAGGAAACATTAATTCTTTCTATATAAAAATATTTCTCCTGAACACCCCAGAATTGTTTAAACAACAATAGAAGCTAATAATTTTAGTATTATTCTATGCTCACTGGAGAAATTTCAATTAGAAAAAGGGGGAAGAAGGTAAAGGGAGAAACAACAGAAAGAGCTATGAATAACCTTGGGTTTCTACAGTATCCCAAACTAGACATTACAAAGTTGGAAGTTTGTGCACTTAGTTTCCTGCGTAGTGTGGAAGCATCAAATGAAACCGTGAGTATAGTCAAAGGGATTACTCTCACATATAAATTAAAAACAGAAAATTGCCACAGTATTACATCATCTGTTTAAGGATTTTTCAGAAAACATTTAACAAGTGGAATCAGTTTGAGACACCACAGAAGAATAAACTAAAACCAAGAGAGTATTCTTTTTAATTCACTGTAAGACTAATAAAAGTCTTTTGACTTCAAACAACCATTCTCCCTTTTATCCCTGCTGTCATCTGGGCTTAAGCAACTGGATAAATAAATTTGCCTTTTGCTTACACTAGAATCATTCACTGCCATCTCAAGTTTCAAAATTTAAGCTATAAGTCCTATCTTCCGAGACCTCAATAATTTAGTTCCTACCCTCTGTCATCAGTTCTTCCTCAATCACATAATCAATTCTGTGTTTGGTACCAGTTCGATAAAACTGGAGAAGCCAACTCCACAGATGTGAGTTAGGTAACTGTAACACTTCTGAGGATTACAAATTGAAATTGTTATTTTTGATAGAGTTTGGGGAAAAAAAAAGTGACTTGCAAAACTACCTGAAGACTAAGCAATTTTCTCTTATCCCTGAAAATTGCAGAATACTGTAAGTTATTAAGGAATATTGTATTTTTAGCTACATTTTGCAAGAAACAGCATTTGGAAAATTTCAGCTGCTAGTTACAAAAGTTTTAACACACTTACCATACTCTTTCTCATTCACTTCAGATATGGGTTCAGAAATAACACTACAGAACGAGATAGCACTTGCTGCAGAGGGGTTACGAGAATGACCCATATGATGGGGTGCCTTCTTGACATTCTTCAAGGCTTCTTCGGCCTGTTCCTGTTCCATTGCAGCAACCATATCTCTGTATGCTTTTCTGGCCTCTTCAGTCAACGATACCAGCTTATTAAATAGGTCCTAAGTATGAAAAGCAGGTTTTATAATCAGTAGCTCTTACTAGTGATTTTCACTTTAAAATTACTCCTCTTAGTCAAAGGTATACCACTTAACAAGCCTTACGTTTATTAACACCAAATACCTTTGACTAAAAATTAGTTCTCTGTATTAAATAAAGACAAAACCACCACTCTGTGTTTACACAGCTTTGATGATACGTACTTAAAGATTGTTTTTCTTACAATCTTAAGCCTTCCAGAAATTTCAGATGGCATTCAAGTCTATTTGAAAGCTACGGAGATGTTGCGACCGAAGTGTTTCAACATAGTCTCTCCGTTCTGTAAATACTGAATTCCAAAAGAAAAACACCCCCTAATATAGATCAGGTCAGGGCCATTATCAAATGCGTATTAGGTGGGTGTGCTCTCCATGTCAAATAAATTCTTAACTACAAGGAACGTAATTGTTTATTCCAGCCACTTACATGAATGGAATTACTCACCTCAGCACCTGAGTAGTTGAAGATACCCACTACACTAACAGGAACCAGCTTGTTCACACAACGGCCAAGAGCTTTACGGCCAAGAGCAAAGACAAAAGGAATTTCTTGTTCCCGAGCCATGGCTATTACGTTATATAGAGCCTCATCTAGTCCACCTTGAAGAAAACAATTTTAAATAGGTATCTAATCAGTTAAAAGTCATAGTATGGCACGATACAACTCTATCCCATTTTGACTGTAATTAGTCAGTAAAACTTCAATACGTATCACCAGCAGGTAATACGTCTTACAGGATAAGAAGCTATACATTTCAAGTATAGTGACCGAGTACAGATCAAGGCAATATTCTGTATTCTCTATTAGTCCTACACATAAATGAAACCAGAATTTTTCACAGCTCTTTTCTTGAGCATAGCTTTGCTCTCCTCATATCTCAGGAAGCCTCTGTTTACGCTTCTGGTTGTGGCAAAATGTGTTGGTTGGCTAACTAACCAATTCACATCCTCTTAAGGAATCCTCCTTAAGAGCATCCAGAGCTCAGGACTCTAGGTGTATCAAAGACTGAATGGAATAAAATTGAAATCTATTGTAATACCTATTTTTCTTTAAGCTATTCACCCCCTGTTAAGAAGTTTCTTCCAGAATGGATGTGGAGTGGCAATTACACAATTGATTCTGGAAGCGTTATGTCATGCACAGTAACTAAAAAATGCTTCTAGCCTTGCTAATCAGCACTTCAAAGAAGCACAAGAAAACTGTAAACAGTTAAATGCAGTAAGCAGTTACCTTGTTTTATCATTCATACCTTTTGACTGGATTTTTTCGCAGTTGGGAGATATGATTACACACTTGATCTTGTTTAATTTCATATGCTTTGTAACCTCACGCAAGCCCATAACAAGTCTTCTCCTTGCTTTAGCTCTCATGGGATCCTTCTGATAAATCCGTTCCTGGAAGCTGACAAGCTCTTGCAATAAGAGAGTCACACACTCATCTATTTCTTTACTTAGAACTTGGTTACAGTATCTGTCAATTCAAAAAACATCAAGTATTAGCATAGCACATAATCAGTACTACTTCACTGAGCCTCTTCTTTTACCAAATAATTTTACTTCCTCAGAACAGTTTAATAAAAACTGTTGAAGTTATTAAAAGGATTTAGAAATCAGACTGTATGCCATAAGCTAGAAATACATCCTGAAAACATTTATATTTCCAGTAACTCTCCTTACCTCAAGAAGTCAGTAAAACACATTAATACAAAGAAATACTCCAATAGGCGCCACAAGAAACTATTATCTTAATTTCGTACTCTATAAAGATACATTAATAAAAAAGCAGTAATGTGTTCAGACTATTACAGTATTTTCAGCATTCGTAAGTATTCCTTTCCCTTCCCATGCAAATCGTATGTAGCCCTTCTTTAAAAATTATTTTTTAGAGAATACTTCCACCTAGCTTATTTGTTGCAGCAACCAAAGAAAGCCCAAAGTATGTGTGTGTACATATATATGCACATTTGTGTATGTACATACACACACGCAGCAATCCATCTATGGCAAAAAAAAAAAAAATACTTGCAGAAAATAACTGCAGAAACTTCTGTTGATGAAAGGGTAGCTAATGTTCATTAAGCTCTTCCTAAGTCTACTAAACCTATCCACACTTAAAAGATGAGGGTGATTGAAGTGCATTTATGAATTTATGTTCACAATGCAAAACTCTTACTCTCTGAATCTCTTGCTGTGAATTTTGGTTATTGCAGAAGATGCCATTGGACTGCCTATTCCAGAACTAGCAGGTGAACCTTGTGACACTGGGGTCATGCAGTATGGAGAATTCTGACTTGCTGGTGAAAGTGAAGTATCGCTAGGCATACTTAATCCAGTTTCTGAAAGACAATTTTGAAACATTATAAAATGAAAAGACATTTTCACATAAAAGAAACAGCATCGCGCTGCTTATGTATTGCTCCCTCGCTTTTGCCAAATTACATTCTGAAAACACTAAACAGTATTCTTCCCTGGAGGGGTAGTTGAGAGGGGGGAAAACAAAACAAGCATATACCCAATGCACAGCATGGGTTGGGTAAATAAGCAATATTTGAATATTCATTAAAAAATACCTGAAGCTTAGTTTGGGAAGTGGATAGAACAGAAGGGAAAACTTGCCTAAATGTTACAATTTCTTCCAATAATTCTTTGCTATGTATATATACAATATTTAACTAATTTATACCTAGAACATTTAAGATCATCACACATCTTCAGTCAGGTGAAGTCAGGCAGGTCATTCAGAAGAAAAGTTCTGAAGCAGTACACCTGGAATCTTGACAGACACCTTCCCCTCCCCTTCACCCCCCCCCCCCCCAAAACACATCAAAGCAATTGACATTTCTTTCAAGTTTCCCAGTTGCTCAGAGCAGTTGCTGCAAATCGACAGTCTAAACATTGCAGTTGATTGACAAGAGCATTTAACAAACTGGAAAACCTTATTTACAGTTTGCAACTTCTGTATGTGGAAAACTTTCAGTATGCTCATGATTAAAATGCATTGTGATTAACATGGTGTGGTCGATAACAGGTCACATTTTTTCCCACTTATCAAAAATGCTATCAACTCTAACATGTGTTGGGAACATCCACTCAAGAGAAATTAATTCAAAAGCTGTACAGAGATTATATACTTAGAATGCATACTGCCTGAGCCTTCCACAACTGAGGGACAGACAAGACATTTTAGAAGAGTGTTCCAATTTCTAGTATCTCATAATGTTAAAAAAAGTTGAAAGACAACCATCAACAAATTGTATTGCATAAAAAGAGAAAGACAAAATATTAAAATAAGCAGATTAGTACAAGTGGGGTGGGCGGGAAGGGGGACTAGAGAGATAGAGACCAACCTTCTTGAGAGACCAGCTCCTGAGAGTGATCAGCAGTCAAGTTTATATGAACCTCTCTCTGTTCATCAGATCCCAAAAGGCTATGATCAGCTGATAAACGTCCTTTCTTTTCTTCTCTCTCTTTCAAAATAATCTAGGAACAAAAATGACAGCTATCAACATCTGAAAGTTATAGATACCTGTAAAGAAAAACATCCATTTGACTGAACATAAAGTTAACCAAGTTGTTCTGAACCTTCCTACCCATGCCAGGATAGAAAACTCTGAAATCATTTCACTTTCCTCTTTGATCGCGAACAGTTATTTCATTCCAGCATTTTACAGATGGTATACTCAATATTCTCGTATTTCTACATAAACAGTGCTTTCAACAGTTTAAGCATTAAGTAATTTCACAGCTTCTTTTTGATACATAACACTCCCTCATTAACAATTCCTAATCCCCACCCATGTAAAAAAACCACCTTATGCAAGAATACTAGCCATCTTAGTGAAGCATCACAACAGATTGAATCCTTTCTATAAAAAAAGTGCAAAGGTAAGTAGCCATAGATATATTGGATATTACCATGATAAATAACAACAACAACATAAAGGCACTGACAACAGAGTTTATAAAACTTTTCTGAACAGGTAGCTGTGAATTTCCCTCTCTCAAGTAGATCATGGATAAGTCAGAAAAAAAGACTGCAGGGGGGTGGTGGTGGTGTGTACGACACACAAGGGACAGAATGGGATGGGGAGGGAAAAAGCAACTTAGCCAAAGTCAACCCTTTTACAAACACAGTTTTACCAGGTTCTAACTGCCCGTATCATAAAGTGATCTTGACAAGAAATGTGGTGTGTGAGTATAGGTGACTTTCACCTTTTTTTTTTTTTAAAAAGCTTTTCACACTTTCTTTTTTAGGGCTAGGTTCTTTTGTATTTTACCTTCTGATTTCCATACATATTGTATTCTCTGTGTACGTAACTATTTTATATGTGCATGTATATAGATATATACAACCAATTATTTCTAAAATGTACTTGATTAAAAATAGTTTTTTAAATTCAAGGTCTATACCCATCTCTAAAAAAAGTGTAGGAAAATGTAGGGTTAGCATACTACACTGCACTACAAACTAGGATTCAACATGAAAAAACTGTGCAAGTTTTCCCATATATCCTAGCGCTTGTAGTTAAAAAATCCTTGCAATCCTTATCGAGATAGGTATGTTACGTGCCTAGATCCAGAGGATGGGACATCAGTATAACAGGAACTGGAGGCAGCAGCTCATGACTGCCTTACCCTATACTCATGGTCATTAGTCCTCAATTAAGAAAATATCAGGTTTTATTTTTGAAGTATGAGTGTGGGTCAAGACACTCCAGGGTTGACATGTTTACCTTTTTAAGCGCTGTAGGGCGTTTCAGTTTTGCAATCTCTCTCTCTTTTCCTCTTTTCACTTTTGGGGCAGTTGAATCCAAAGGATTAAGGCACCCCATAGATGGCTGTCCCTTTGTTAAGGACTTTCTGTTGGCAGATTCTTTGGTATGAAAAGGAGCAGCACTGCCAACTAAATACAAGAAAGATATTAGTTTCACCAAAAGACATGTCAGCTTTATTTCAACACTGTTTTCAGAATTTCCACTGATGAATTTTCAAAGTACATTTTCCTTCCTTGGAAAAAAGCAGTTCATAATGACAGGAAAATTATGTCATCAGATATTGTCGCTTCCAGATGGTTTTAAGCTTTCTTCAACTTAGGCTCATGTTTTAGGAAGCTATGGATTCCAGGAAAGGAATTACTTTAATACTGTTGAGAGAGATCCCTTACATGACTACATGTAGCTTTATTAGTAAGATGGTAACAGTAAGATAAGTTGCAAATATTTATGAAACATTGGTTTTTAGTTGTTGAAGACTTGATTGGTTGACAGGACAAAACAGATGAGAGAGTGCAGCATGTAGTTAAGTTTATCTTCTGCAAGAAAGAGACAAAGAGAAATGCAGTCTCCAATGGAAACGACAACTCTTCTTTGCTGAGCTTTGTTTGATACAACCTTGCCAACTTGAATTAATGTTTGAACACAGCTGAAACTCAAAGCAGGTAAATGAAGCAACACACAAGAAGGAAAATTGTAACTATGTGCATAACAGTGGACTCTAGGCTACGTACTATCGCTCAGGAATGAGATGCATGGGTTAAAATAGGTAACTACAAAAATGTCAATTCAGAATTGACATTACAGCAGCAAGCATAAAAAAAACTAATTTAATGTTAAGCACTGATAAAGAAACAGAGAACAAAAAAGTGTAATTAAGCCATTGCATACATTCATGATGGAACTATAATTTAATATTCTGTGCATGTCTGATCTTCCTTATTTTCAGAAAGATACAGCAGAGCTACAAGATGGTACAGAGAAAACAATATGGATTATCAGAAAAGACATGCTTCCACAACAGAATAACTAAATAGACTAGGACTCTTCAGACTAGAATAGAGATTACAGACCTCTAAGAATCATAGAGGAGGAGAGTAGGGAATGATTGCTCAGACTCCTTGTAATAGAGAGGTTATGAAAGCTATCAAAATTACGAGCAGGGCACCCCCCCCCCAAAAAAAAAAACCAAAAAACAAAACCACACACAACAACAAAAAAACACAGTAGAACAGTAGAAGGAAGAGCTTCTCCACCCAGCACGTAGTAAGGTTAGAATTCACTGCCACTGGACCTTATGGACAGTAAAAGCATGTGATAGAAGTCATGGATAGCTTACAAAACAAATTTGATTTGAGAAAGCCTAGAGTCAGGTGGCCCTGAACTATCATCAGTAGAGGTGGGAAGAATATCCTGGAGAGGCATCCCTCTGTATCATAGTCACAGTTATCCTCTCTAAGCTGCTTTCAAAGAGAACTCTGTAGTATCTGTAGTAGATGTTTGGTTTGACCTAATACAGTTCTTTTCACATGTTCATTTCAGTTCTGAATTAGTCTCAAGACAGGAATCTTGAGTTTTGAATAGCAGTTCATTTTAAGAGAACTTTACCCTCAGTTCTACATGGACTTTCACCATTGCATACTGCAACTCAGAGGAAGATAGCACAGCTGAATTTTTAGAGAAATGAATTAAGAAAGCCCTCCCAGGTTTTTATTATGTTTATATTCAAAAACTAAAACCTGACAGAAAAAAGCGTATTTAAGATGCTCAGATTGATCACACTTACACTGTCACAAAATGCATTCAGCAATCGTCAATCAGATTAGAATTACCTGTGTATGAGAGAGGCCTGGTGTTGGTTATCTGACGAGCTTTCATTGCTTGCTGCTGCTTTTCAAGAGCTGCTAACATGTCGCCCAAATCTAATTGAACAGGGGTCTTGCTTTTCTTTCCAGCTGCTTTTGATAAAGCCTCCTATAATATGAACATCACATGCTGATAAACACAAAGAAATAGTGCCCGCAAAACATTCTTTACAAAGAGATTCTTTTTTTTATAGCATAAAGGGGAGCAACAGCTGATACTCCTCTTTACCAACTACTTGGGGGGGCGGGGCTAGCACTACACACTTGAAGCTTTTTCTGTTCCATGCTTATCTCCGAATACTCTTGAGCTGTTGCAAGTGCTGCTGCCAAGGCTTTCTTCTTCTGACTTTTTGCACGCTTTGGTACAGAGGTTGTAATGGGAATTGGAGTTTGGACTATATTGATTGGAGAATTCTCTGGTAAGTCATCCAACTAGGATTTGAAACAGAATGCAAAAGAACACAATTAAAAGACCTTTCTCTCAAAACCATAGGAAACATGGCCCTCCAGAAACCGAATGAACCATTGCTTTGGCCAGCAGTATGACATCCCAATTAAGTACACCTAGTTGACAAAGTTGGTTAATAAACCTAGAAATTTATGTCTGTTTCATTTTTGTATGGAAAAAAACGGCCAATTATGCCTTCGGAAGGTTTTCCAGTCTGATTGCTAAATAAGGCAGTGGCTTTTTTTCCCCTCTGCGAGTATTTCACATAGGATTTTACTTTTCTGGCAAGCAGCCATATAGATTAAGTAGTCTGTATGTACAGTTCCACAACAAAAAATTTAAGTCGATCAGATATTAAATGAGCATCTTTCCAACAACAGTTTCTACAGCCTTAAAGCAGATTAAGTCTAGTTTATTTTTACTTCAGTTGGGAGTTGGACTATGATCCTCATGGGTCCCTTCCAACCTGGGATATTCCATGATTCTAAGTGTCTCTCGTATGCATCTTACAGTTTCACTGGTTAACAACCTCATTAGCAGACAAAAATCCAGCACGTTTTTAAGATGGGTTCCCTGCATCACTTATTTTAATTGGCATTTCTTTAGCATCCAAAACTGATAATGCAAATACCCTACAATCATCATAATTATTGCATTGTAAGTATTGTAGCAGAGATGCATAAAAAAATTACACACATTAAGTAATCTCAAAACAACTTAAAAGTGCTTTGCAGAACAAAACATTTACTTACTACTTTGGGTGAAATCTTTTGTTGCATGTTACTACTTTTGTTGCTGCCATTGTCACTATTTAGCTCTGGAAATTCATCTTCATCCTAAACAATACACAAATTAAGAATGAAGAGAACGGAACCAAAAGTCACATGAAAAGCATCAATGGAAATAGCTGAAGCTAGAATGAATTGAATCCTGAAGTTCCACATAAGCTAGAAGGGCTTAAAAGTGACACAAATAGAATATGATGAAAAGTTAACAGTATTTCTGTATCCAAATAATCTTTTTCAAAAAAAGAACAATTTATTAGCATTTTGTACTAAAGAAATCCAATTACAATTAGGGGAGAGGGGAGATAAAGCAGAGAACACAGTAATTTTTATTTGCAAATGAATAGAAAAAGTTACTTGAGGGTTGCTTACCTAATTTGTCAATCACAAATAGTTCTAAATTCTTACACTTTCCACAAGACCCAAATACAAGTTTTTGTACATACACAACGAAAACATCACATAATAATTACATTAGTGCACTATATTGTACACCTCAAAGTCAGATGTTTTGCAACTTCTCCTCATTGGGAATATCACTTATTTAACACACAACTTGCATCACTACAGTGCAGAAACAGTTTTCATACATTACCTCAAAATACAGAGGTTCAGGACTCTGCTCTGTTCTACTTGACTGGCTTATAGTTACAGGTTTTTCATGTTGTTTCTGCAAATTCTGCCTTCTTTCTGAAGATGTGCTGTGGTCTCTGCATCTGAAACCAGACTGAAAATAGTGGACATGATTGGTGATTGCAATTTCAAGTTTTCAAGATGTGTGTGCAGGCATGTAAGGCATTCTTATGTCTGCTAATTAGCAACTAACACAGTACAGTTTTTACGGAATTAGATTTAATAAGCTGTGCTTTGGGGGTGGTGGTTGTTGTTTTGGGGGGGGGGGGGGGTTTTGGTTTTTTTTTTAAACCTGCAAACATATTCTACAGATAGTGTCAGATTATTGCTCCCCCTTCCCCCAAGCCAAATACAGCATCTCTATACATTCATCTCTAAATTCCTAATTTAAAAAAAATAGGGTCCTTTTGGCCAATCCTGGAGAAAACCACAGGAGTTGCTGGTGACTCTATATAACTCGGACATGAATCCTGAGGAAATGTCTGTAACCATGATCAATCAAGAGAACTTTCTCCCAGTACATAATTATTCCGCATGCCATTATTGCCTTTTCAACATGTGTTTTATGACAGTGCACAGGGACAGAGTTCTCTAAGGACCAGAGACCTTAGTATAGTGGTATAAACATTCTTTTTATTATGTGAGAGGCTGATAGAAACCCATATGCAAGACTGGTTGGCTAAAAACAAAGCATGATTTGAATCTGAAATTCTGGATCTCTCATACTAATGTATTTCTCAAGAAGGTTTCCTACAGACCTGGTACAAATTTAGTTTCAAAGGAAAATAGTTTCCAGGACAATTCTGCCTTGAGGTACAGTGAAATTGGCTGAGGAAACCTCATTTAGAACTCTTTCTGCCAGCTTTGTTTTTAAATATCTAAAATAACTGCCAGATTTAGAGTTGAAACCGAGACTGGATGAAAGGAAATCTGGTTCTTCCTACTCTCCCAATGCTGTAAACTACAAGTAGTGGCTTCTAAAAGCCTCCAGTTTGACTACAGGTTATAAAAAGATTCAGAACTGCTATGTTGCCAGATACAGGCACTAACAAGCTTCTTCATGTAATAAACCCACGGATACCAACTGGGAAGATTCAAGACAAATTAGCAATTCCATCTAAAAAACTAAATAGGACAAGCTAGCTCAGATATATATGCGCGCATACAGGCACGTCTGTGATAAAGCTCCCACATCAAGTTCAGCTATTCTTGTCTGCAGTAACTGAATTCAAGCAAAATCTATGTTTAAGCACAGGCAGATGTTTCAGCCTTCTCTCTGTCCCCCTCTGCACACTCTCCCCCCCCCAAATAAATTAGACTAGCAAAATTAGGAAGGCTACCTTTTCCTCACATACTAATTACAGATATCCTGTCCCACTTGAACAAAATACTCAAGTTTCAGCATAGAACAGTTTATTAATAATAAAAATGCAAAATAATATGGTAAGCCTATATAAATTTTAAAAAGAAAGTTTCAGAGACAACAGGAGTGAGAAACAGGATTCTAGTTCACCATCACAACAGAATCTTTCTTTAGGAAGTTTGAGATTATTTTTTTTTTCTTCTATAGTGTGAATGGGTCAAAAAACTGAACTAACTTTTTTTACACCCACACTGTCTTCATTTCACAAGTTGCTTTATATACATAATGTTCTTCCTAGGTAGATACATATAAAGAACAGGCTATAGGGAGAAGATAGTCAAGTACATGAAATTATATATTTATGATACAATGCTAGCTCAAGAAACATACAAAGTAGAAATCTGAACAGGACTTCTAGGTTGAGTTTCTACACTTTTCGCTCAGTGTTTTCATTAACGGTTCTTTTATATGTAATTTTATAATCCATTTTAAATTCCTTTTTGTCATATATTACATGAAACAGAATACATGCATTTAGAACCACTAACAACATACCTGTGAACTATTTCTTTGCTCAGCTTGTCTTCCACCTCTAGAAGACGTCTGAGTTTTTTCAATCCAAGGTTTTTTTTGAGTTGCCTGGGAATTTACATTAGCCCAACTTATACCAGCTGAAAGAGAAGTGCCCTCTATGAAAAAAATTACAAAATGCATCAATGATACACATGCCAGCAGAGCCAGGATCACAATTTTGATACAAATAAAGTTATCTGACATTTATTTCTGTAGTATTTCTATAAGTTAGCAGAATTGTCTTTATGGAAGAGTCAGATGACAGACATTCAAATTGCTAACAACTGACCATCAGGAAGATATCAGACAAAAGAAATCTTGGGTTCATATCCGTAACAATTTTGGTCCAGTCATAAATAATAGCCAGTAGCGTTACCCACTACTACCAAACTAACCAAAATATTTGTTCATGTCACAGTATTTCTCTAAAGGCTCTAAACAAGTATCAGTACTACTCAAACAGAGATGGAGAACTGTTTGGCTCTATTACTACCCAGGTATGAACTGCAGTCCAACAGGGTAAGGAAGCTTGAGGATAAAATACAACAGAAGCACAGCTTTGTCTGAATGCTTCCATTGAGTCTCTGGCTTTTTTTAACCCTTTAAAGAAAGGCATATCATTAGCAATAGCTACTTATACACTTGTTCTTTCAAGAAATAACAGGGGTCTTGGTGGAGGTGGTAGAAATCACAGTAAAGACATATCTTCAGAAGTATCTGATCCGTTAGAGTAACATGCTGGAACTAAGATAGAGACACCGTTCCTAGCAAAATGTAAAGCAAAATACAAGAGTGACCCAGCCAAATTTTAAACAGCTCACCAGCTAAGACAATGCTTACTTGTATTTATTGATGGTTCCACAACCTGAAAAGGAAGAAAACAGGTTTTTTTAGTAATTTTTATTAGTCTGTAGGATACAAATACAGTTAAGTTATTCAGATACGTTTACATACATTCATTGCACAAGAATCTGTATTTCTTGAAGTCATGGCTGCAGCCTGGTTATTGCCATGTTTAGGACTACAATAGCCACTGTCACTGTCAATGTCCGCTTCACTTGCGCCCTGTTCACTAGAGGACTCTGCAGCAGGGTGAGATGCTCTTCTGCGCCTGCCTTTTGATTTCCAAAGCATTGTAGAGGCGCTCTCAGAAAGTGACTTATTAGCTATATCTGAAGGGAAGTCTGCAAGACACAATAAAAATAACAATTCCTGAGCAAGCAATTATAAGACATGAAAAAACGTACACATCAAAAACAAATGGAAAAAGCCAGAGTCTTTGCACATGACAACAATTTCCTTTTAATAAAATTAAAACCAGCATTGAATTAAAAAAAAAAATATTGTTAATAGCTGAACCTAAACATAACCAACTCTTTCAAGAAGAGTCTGTTTTTGATAGCAACAAAGTCTACCTTCTTTTAGGACAGATGGCGACTGACACGTAGTTCTAGTTATTTTGTACACCCAGAAGACAAGAAAGGAATTACCTGTTTGTTGCGATGCATCCACCAACAAAACAATCTTTGACCTGTTCTCAGGACCTGATGAACTAGTCTCCTTTTGGGTGGCGACATTTTTCACTGGAGGACGTTTATTTTTTATGTGTGTCTGTAACTGCTGTTGCTGTTTTAAAAGATTAGCCACACATACAGATAAGTCATATGATTTGACTTCATAGCTGTAATCAAACAAAGCAATTGAAAGTTCTAATGCTCTCCACAGAAGTGACATGTTTAAAGACAAGAGATTAAGGGAAATAATATTAAAAATATTTTATTTATTAACCTCTTTGCAGTACTTTCTGCATGAACTGTTCATTATGATGTGGAAGGACCAAAAAAACCAAAGAAGTTATGGGGGTATACTTCCTTTGTTGTCTAATGAAGTAATTCTAAGCTCAGACCAAACCAGCAGAGAGGCAGTGGAAGGGAGTTTCCCATGTTACATTTGCAGGCTTTATAAACTCACCAAGTATTTTACCACAAAATGCCTCTGTAGACAGAGTGCTGGTACGCTCTGATTAACACCTTTTCTGCCCACCTTTCCTTTCATTAATACTACTGACATACCTGTTCTTGCTCAAGTGAGATGCATGCTTCCTGCGCAAAGATATTTTCTTTTTACAGTTCTACTTATCCTATTAAAAAACAAAACAAAACAAACAGACTTACTTTTTGTATGACTGGTCCCCTGTTACTGCTTCTGCTCCGCTGACTGGATAATGGAAAGACCTGGCCTGATGGGTTGGGACGCTCAGTGCATTCTGCAGTAACTGTATTCACAGCATTTGCTGTTTGAAAGGGTGCAGAATAGGAGAAACAGGTGGTTGCGCAGATATTATAGGATAAGCAAGGTATGGTCCTGCAGGATTTGGGTTGGGTTGCTGCCATCTGATGTCATTGTTGTATAATGGAAACTGTCTGTAAAAATCAAAGGGAAAGACAACTGCTCAGTGAGTTTTTCCCTCTCAAGGAAATTCAGACCTCTACCGCGCCCTTAAAAAAAAAAAACCCAAACAATAAACAAACAACCAAATAACCACAACTCATTTGTTTTATGAGCTCCTAGCTTTTAATAACTGAACTTAAATTTATTAGGACTTCTTAAAAATGCCAATTAAATGATTTACGAGCTCAAATTAGTATAAACTAATATTTAACTTGGAAATAAAATGTAGGCATATCTTTTGACAAGTACTTCAGACCCATTACAATTTCTTTGTTTCAGAAAACACATATAACTTAAGTAGATGCCTAAGCTTAGATTAGGTAAGCTAGCAGACACATGGAACAGTAACATTCATTAGCTAACTCAGGGTCGAGTACTTCAGTATATTAAGTTGCCAACTCACCCTTGTTCAAAATTCCTATGAAAATGCAGGCTGTAAACAGCACACGTGAAAACAGGCATTTACAAACTTACTACTGAAAGCAAGTGTGGAGACTTACTCCTGTGTTTATTTATGATACAGCATACTACAAAAATACCTCCTTGGAAACTATGAACCCAATTCTCTTTTTCTTCAAACCCCCAAGAGACCAGGAGAACATCTACATGGAAAATACATAGGCCCGAATATTAGAGAAAGAGAAGAGGAAAATTAAAGATTCAGGATAATTTTGCAGATCCGTAGCAGGCAGTCGCTACAGCATTGCTTTTCTCCTTACCTATTCAAGTGCAGCAGCACTGAAGTGCTGTGCTAAGGAAACATTGGGTATATTTTTCAAAACCAGACACCAATAATTACTTATGCCTTCAATACAAAATAATCAACACTGAAGTTGTGCATTCAGAGAACACCACATTTGGGCTAGAACAAAGAGTTCCTAAACTCAATGTCTAACTAGTTATGCAAAGAAAACTAGATACAGCTACACTCAATAAAAGTGTCAGCTGCATGCTGTTTTGCCATTGCAGGATCCAAGTTGGACACCTAGAGCCTTGCTTCAGCATCAGATATTCAGACACAGACCTCTTGACTGCCCTGGAAGATGCAAGAGCACAGCAGGTGACTCTGAGGGATTTGTACCAGACCTCTGTAGCCAGGGAAAGACAAGTGACAAAGAGTATGAATAGAGAAAAGCAGAGGGAAGGAAAGAAGCAAAAAGAGACTGAGGACAGAAAAACTTCCTCACCCATCGAGGGTCCGAAGATGAAATACAGTGAACAAAATGAATATACAGCCAACAGTCACTGACTCCTCTCAAGTCAACCAGAAGCTTAAACTCATTTAAAAACAGATCACCTTCTATGAAGGCCACAACCACATATTACCTATTGGATTGGTTTTCCTGTACGAATGGATAGCAAGTGATCAGGTAGCTGGGGATAGGACTTGGTTCCATGCCATTAATTCCTCCGCTGTCATTAGGAAGTGCCATTGGGATCATTAGTGTTTCTGGAGCCTTCTTCTGAGGAATAAACGGTTCTACCTCAGCTGACAGCTTGACATTCTTAAGAAAGAGAAAAGAAACAATGTCTTCATTAAATAAACCCATAAATTGTTGAGGAACACTTAGATTCATGAAGTTGTATGGCAATTATCACAAATAGCAGGCAAATGGATGACAAGACTACAGGATTTCTGCAGTAAATTCAAAGAGGTGGAAAACAGTTGGTAAGTGCTTGTTACATCCTTCCAATCAACACAGGCTGCAATACAGACCACCAACATTTAGCATTTGTATGAACCTTTACATTTTCAAAGTGCAAGAAAAACACTAATTAATTTAAAAGGGACTGAAGTTCAGATCTTGCAGAGGATACACTAGCCTGAACACAGAAAGAAATCAAGTTAGCGCTGTAGGTGGAACACAGTTGTGTAGGCTTTCCTAAGTGAAACCAACATATGGAAGATGTAGTAATGCCTGGTCTGCTCTACAAAATTGACCATGTTCCTAAGCAATTATAAAAAAGATTTTTCAGCAGTAAACCTATGGTTTACTGCCAAAATAGATGTTGTATCACAGTAGAACCTCACATACACATTCCATCCACACAATTTTAACATATTTTAAAGTGTTAAGAATATGGTTAAATTTTGCCACGAAGAGGGAATTAGAATGCTTAGAAATAAGTTATAAACTGTGCTTTCAAAGAAGAGTATCTTCCCTGATCCTAAAGGTATCCTCAACAGCTTACAAGGTTTTTTTACCCACACTTTTGGTCTCGTACGGATCAGCTGGATCTTCTATTTAAACAATGAAAAATGCTCTATTCAATAAGAAAACTGCAGATCTGAAGTACCCTTAAATTATGTATTCCATTATAATTTACATTCAGCCACAAAGCATCCTTTTGTACGAAGATTTCAGCTTAATTATACTTGTCTCACATTAGTAGCTCATAAAATACCAATTTCTAAGAAAGTTCTCTCTAAAGCAGAGGACGACTCCAGAAACTGTTCCTTCCATTTGTCTAATAAACAATTCCAGAGTCAATACATAACCTTTACAGAATACCTGCCGTTATTTTACAAAAAGAAGAGCCTGAAGGTTTGATACGTTGATGACAGTCTTCTGTCCTTGCCACTACCTGTACAACACCCATGTGAGCAGAATCAGTTAAACAATGGGAGCTCTGAAAATATTATGGCAAGTAGACCCATGCCTACCACACGCTTCTCAGTCCATGTCCTTGCTCTGTGTCAAATCCACAATCCATCCAGAGACATTTCAGCCTTACTGTCCAATATCTGAATCTACAAACTTATTAAAAAAGAATTTATTTTTTAAATAAAACATGGGATCAGATCCCATATTTGTTTAGCAACATGGGGGTGGAAAAGTTGGGAGGAGCAGGTCCAACAATCTTTGAAAATACAGTTGTCCCAGTCAGTAAGAAAAGCTGCTTCTACTTGATGAATAGGTGCTTTAATGTATCAGACTGAACTAGAAAGATTCCTAGCTCTAACATTGGTTTGAACAACAGTGAGGTCAAGACCCACTCATGCAGAATATCGGGTCTTTGCTTAGTTAGTCTGACACACTTACATACAAGAAAGTTTAATTACTGAGCAAAAGGTAGAATCATCAAGTAAATTACCCAGATCATGAGTTACACTGTAATTCACCAAGCAAGTTGAAAACCAACTGGTATTTAAGTCCTTTGCTGTCATGTACGCTTAGATAGAGGAGAGAAAAAAACACAGTTGAGACTGTAAAAGCTCCCTAACTTCCCTATAAGTATTATATTCACTATTAAGTTGTTGTAACTACCAGCGATTGATGCAATACATTTTTATAATATAGAAGTATTTTCAATATATATTACTTACAATTGTAATATTAGAATTCCCAGCCAATTTCAAAAATTATGCATTGAGCAAAATTTTTGGCTTTCTTTTCAACTCCAAATATGACAGTCAAACTAAGTAATTACAAAGGCAATCATTCTGTAACAGCTGTCTGGATGACTTGTACAAGTGGAATCAAACTCTTCCTACAAAAATTGTTATTACAGAGTATCTGCCTCTGTTTTTACTTTTATCCTTCCATTATCAAATTTGCTAGTTCATACTTCATGAGATTTCATGCAGTATTAGCTCAAAATTCACCATTAGCCATTTCCTGTAAACATCAGCTCACCAAATAATTTCTATAAACATCACTCACTTTTTCCAAATATAGTGCAGCTCACTAAAATTGAACTTTATAAACACAGGAGGAAGCTTTCTAAGTGAAATATAATTTAGAACAGGAGACTGTTGTCTGCAATATGTCTGCAAGTATTAACTTGAGATCAAAGTTACATCCTTAACAACTTTGATGGTAGGACATTCTGCAAACCACAGTGAACAAGGCCAAAGCTTGTTTATAATTGAACTAAGAATTCAAAAAAATTATACAAAATGGGGGGGAAAAAAAAAAAAAAAAGAGGAAAAAGTCATGAAGTATGGAGTCTATGATTATTTTTAACCATTCTTGAGAAGCTTCTGTGTCGTTGGACTTGACCAAGTGCACTGGAAAAGCAGAAGTGTCCCTTTCAACAAAACGAGTCTCTGCTTTGATATACTTATTTAGTAAGAACATCAGTTATTTACAGCTAAAACTGTAGCATAAGAGACCTGAAGTTTTAGCAGCAATCAAAAAAGGAAAACAAAACATCTAAAAAACTAAATAAAAGGATAGAAGTGGAACTAGAGTGGCGGGAGGGGGAAAGTATGTCTTAGCAAGTGACAAGATACACTATCTCTGCCAAAAAAAATGGTTATTAATGACTATTCTGAAAATGCTTATGACTAAGCACCAATACAGAAGTGCCACTACCTACTGTGCAACAAGGTCTGCATTACAATGGAACAATCACCTTAATATTAATTAAATGCATTTCTTGATCATTAGGTAGTAGGTGAACATCCCTTCCTTCTACGTTAGCTCTTTTCCAATTCATGAAGTTAGGTTTAGAGGAAAAGTTGTGGTGCCGTTGCAGCAGCAGCACCCAACTCGTGCCAACACAAATCCAACACCCTGCTCTAGCCAGAGGTTCCCCTCTGGCCTCAGGGGGCACATCCCTCAGCTCGCTCACCTGCCCTCTGCAAAATGCCAAGGCATTTGCCTCAACACATAGCACCATGGCGATGAACACTTTTCATTAAAAAAAAAAAAAAAAAAAAAAAATTGTCAAGTGCTTATGTACAGCAATCATGTAATAAATGACAGAAATACTGACACTCAAATCCCTCCCTGAAAACTAAGAGGGCTTTTTCATGCTATTTCATGATTGTCAGGCAAAAATATTTGCATAAGAATAGATTCAGTTCTGGGCTGGCCTACAAAACCAGATGGCATAAACAGTAAAGAAGCACACGAAGGCTGCCTCATCTGTAGAAAATTCAACAGTAAAACTAGGATGAGTGCCTTACAAATATGGTATTCTTAATGAAGCACTGAAAACTTTCAAACAACTATTCCTAATCTGCTGGTCACTATCTCCCAGCAACATTATCAAGTGAACTTTCGTCAAGATACTAATTATAAACCACTCCAGTACTAGCTCAGAAAATAGTCAAAACATTGCATTTGTGATTCAGGTTGGGACAAAATTCCCTATTTTAAAGGTCTTTCCAGTCTGACTGTCTGCTCCTTCCCTGTATTTTTTTGGGACACTGATGAAATACAAAAGTCATTCCTTAATGGCAAGTCACTTGCAGAAGGGTCTCATTACAATGATACTGTACTATATCATCATTATTCGCATTATAAGAGAATGGTCTTTCACATCAAGTATTAAGAAAAAGGAGATGTAACTGATCAAAGCAGGAGCCAAACGACTCCCATCAGCAATGCTGCCATAGCAAAGTCTTCCTTGTCAGTTTGTGAATATAATCCCTACCTTACTTTTCCTACCAAGTATTTTGGATAAAATTTGATTTATTTAAATATTTCCAGTAAAAATAGGATTATGCAACTTTTAGGTTTGGGGCTTTTAAAAAAATTTATTAAAAACCACCACAACACTTACCAAGTAGTTCGACAAGTTTAGGAAAATTTTATTTGAACTATTCTGCTTGATTTTGCTAGGTTCAAACAACTCAGAGATGCCCAAACTAGAAGGACAATTTTAATGTTTCCTTTCTTGTTGCCCAGTCTCTTATACAGGTAATGATTAACTATTGCTATGACAGAGCAATCGGCTGATATATTTAATTACCATTTTCTGTACAGCTCATAAGGTATTTAGCTTACCTATAGTAGTAAAATAAAGATACAGCAGATCCTGTAATCATAAACACCTATGGGCACATTTGAAAGTTAATTTCTTTTTTTTGCATACATAACTTTGATAGTGTCTGTTATTTAAAAGAATCAAAAGTGCATTTCAGAAGTCTTTTACATGCATTATACCCTAAACACTGCTTTCCTGTGCAATTTAATCTGCAGCTACAAGTTGGTTGCGGAAGTTTTTTTAATACTTCCAAGAATTCTGTCTCAGCAAAAAGAAGAATTTAGGGCAAACCTCTGCTTCGAAATTTTGCATTTTGTTCTGTAGGCTATATATATGTATATATATGCTAACTCACCAGAATAGCAACTGTAAACTTAAAAACCTTAATACAGGTGTTTCAAAACCAGTCTGCAAGCATCATACAAGCAACCCTCCACACAACCAACGCATTTCATTAGACAACAAGGCCCCATTTCTACTTCAGGGTAGAAAACAAGACGACAGCTCAAACGTATTACCAGCTAAACAAAGTTAACTGCAACACATTGCTTCCTTATAGTTTTTTACCAGTCCCTCTAAAACACTTCCAAGTTCTTTTTACACAGGATGTGCCTTCAGATGAGTACACTGAACTTTATTAAACTTAAAGCAAAAAGGGGAAACAATTATACAAAGTCAGGTCAGACTGCTAACCAACCAAAATATAAATAGAATTAACTCCCCAATGTGATTACCCAGACATTTCACAGATGGCTAGTGGTTTTGTTTGACATGCAAGGGAAATGAAATAGCAATACTAAGTAATTTGCCCGAAGTTATCTATGCAGATTTTCTTTAGGACTACAGTTTTCTCAGCAAGGGGGAAGGGTTGGTGAAGATAAACAGCAAAATAACTCCTCTTACTAGTAAGTGGCATTTTAGGTCTCCTGGCTCCTAACACGTTGCCAGAACAACATAAATAATATTCCCTTAATAGTGTAAGAAGAGAAAGTGAAACAAAAAGCAAAAGAAAATAATAATCAATTTCATGGTAAGTAAAGGAGCTGCTAATTTCTCATTGCACTGGACAAGCAAAAAAAAAAAAAAAAAAAAAAAACTCCAACTGAGACTTCTTATTTATTTTAACAGGTTGTCTCTGTGCTCCTTCGGCCAGATACCAAAACCAACAACAAACTGGTTTATTTGGCATTGTATTTATTATTTCCGTTTTTTGAATACCATGTTGACATGCTTGAGACTCAGTGGAAAATGCAACCAATGACAGCTGAAGGAAACTCCAGAATAAGAGAGGAGATCCTTTTTCAAATAGCATTTTGTATCAGAAGCAATACTAAGTGCATAAATCAAAATGCATGTAAATATGTATGAATGCAATTCCTCAAAGACTTTATCCACACAGTACAAATGGAATGACAAGTGCAGATTAACAGAACTAACAGGACTGATCATGCCACTGGTTTGTAACCACAAGCAAACAAAAAGAATTAGACAAGAAAGATTCATCAAATGCTAAAGAATTTGTGGGAAGGTTCCTACACTTTTCCCAATCCTGACAACAGAGCACTTGTGATACTAATTTATGCTCTAATTGCTCTCACGGTATTGAGACATAGTCTATCCTGCATCCACAAAAAATCAGCGCTTTGCCACTGATATCAGCAAATGCAGGGTCAGACCCCAAATAGTTAATATAAAGTAATATAGTTTTTGATCAGGAAATCTAAAGACAAATATTGCAAGACCAAACTTAGTTTTATTTTGGAGTGCAACTTTTTCATGTTTATTCAACCTTTCACATCACAACGCTAAACAAAGCTTTATTAAAGCTGACCTTTGATAACCATACTCAATTCTAAATATAAATTTAAGTCATGCTGAAACATCAGATTTTCAATCAGTTGCCTACTAATGGAAACACACCCCTTCAGAAGAAACCAAGATTTGTACATAAGCCTTTTGTAGATATCCCTAGTTTCAATTTACAAAATGTTGTGCAGTAGCTCATTACATATTTCAGTCCAACAATCACAACTATTTCAAGAGAGCGTATATACTGAAGCAATCCTTTGTTTCCTATATAAAAGCTACTGTAGTCATCAACAGCTGCAAAGACAGAAGATGACACAAGCAGGAACAGACTGGTAAACTCTGTCCTATAGTTATAGCACTGTATGTTTAATCTTAGAAAAGTTTTTGTTCATTGTAGCTTAATGTCATTCAGCATTTTCCATTAAATAGGATCTCTGTCAGCTTGCTCTCTTAGCAGGGAACACTTGGATATCAATCTTACCGTTTACAGGGTGAGAAAGTAGACACAGATGCCACATTTCAGAGGGCTATAATAAAATCAGCTGGTTTACTGTCTCAAAGTCTGGAAACAAGAGTCTCACCACAAACGTAAGATAAAGAGAAAAAAAGTTTTGAGCTATGTTTTTTTTTATTTTGGTTTTTTTTTTTAGAAAGACAATCCTGCTCCTGAATTTTGGATTTCATAATTTAAAAGTCATTTTAGCACAAGATGGGTCACATTTTTTTTTTTTTGGTTTTTTTTTTTAGAAAGACAATCCTGCTCCTGAATTTTGGATTTCATAATTTAAAAGTCATTTTAGCACAAGATGGGTCACATTTCATCTATTTTAAGAGAAACTTTACAAGTATGGAAGTCATTGTTTCTATAATTAGTTGCTTCTAAGTGGCAGATGCTTCAGGAATGGTAAATATGCAGTCCAACTGGAAACACCAGCAGCAGCCCATCTAACAAAGCACAAAATTTAATCCTCCCTATTTAGATTAAACATAGTAATGTCAACGCAACACTTAAAGCAAATACACTGGGAAGTTAGTCTTTCCCTTTTCTCTCAGCTCATAATAAGGGAACCACGCATAATTCTCTTCTCTTTCACAGAAGAAAGTACCATGTTTGGAATATGACAAAGCTAAGTATTATTTTTGTTATGTATATGTAGAAATGGCCAAGTCACAACATCAAAAGTTAGCATGTTTAAGCTCAAAACCAGAATATTCTAGAAAGAAAGGGGGGAAATAAAATTTAGTATTTACAGTCACAAAGCTTGTCCAAAGAGAAAAAAGCTACCAACAGGACCCTTTGCTTATCTCATTTACAGCATAACTGTACATACAAACTTCTAAACTCATGCTATCAGTGTGAAGCAGTAATATTTGAGTGCTTTGCAGCCTACGTACTACTAGTATTAATAAAAACCATTCATGTAAATCAGCTTCCTCATCTCCACAAACAACTCAAAGATAAATAAACCTGTGATCAAAAAGTTAAAATGTTTATATATCATATCAATAACTCTTAAATTCACCAGAGAACACATGCTATAACAAGATAATATAAAACTCTCACAAAACCCAAATTCTTCTGCACTTTCAAGGTTTGAGAGAAAGTAACATGCAAAATGTATAGCACAGGAAAACTGACCTTTTCCAGTCTGCCTCAGTTGAAAACTCTCACAGGTAAGAAACACCGAAGGAAACTGGATAAGATAAAGAGCACAAAACATTGCTCTAGATCCACTTATATGGCAAGCATATTATCAAGCCAACTGTTGAATGGTCAAGAATAGCAGTGGCAAGCAGAACAGGCCATCTTTAAGCAATACTAGCACAAAACACAGATCGTTCATTTTGCAACTTCAACCGATTTCTCAACTGCACTAATGGAACCAGAAGTCTTAATCATAGGGCAAGACAAATGTATAACACTTAGAAAAATCAAAGCACAGCAGTACCTTTGAGAGGGGAAGTTGTTTCTCTCTAGTTTTCTACCACAATCAGCTTCAGCAGAAAGAGTGCCAGAGGTCACGTGCCAAGTTTTCTCTCTTGTAGGAAAATAACCTACACTTAACTGCTGAAACCCAAACACTTTTTAATGGGAACAG